CACCCACCCACCCACCCACCCACCCACCTATCTATCTATCTATCTATCTATCTATCTATCTATCTATCTATCTATCTATCTATCTATCTATCTATCTATCTATCTATCTATCTATCTATCTCTACCTCTATATGTAATTACTATCTCACTTTTATTACTTTAGAAATACAGGCTGTCCTCAACTTCCAACAGTTCGTTTAGTGACCGTTCAAAGTTACTATGGCACTGAAAAAAAGTGACTTATGACCGTTTTTTGCAGTTATGACCTTTTCAGCCATCCCCAGGATGATCCGATCACAATTCAGAGTCCTGGCCACTGGTTCCTATTCATGACCGTGGCCGTGTCTCCCATTTGCGACCTCCTAACAAACAAAGTCAATGGGGGAAGCCAGATTCACTTAACAACCAGGTTACTCACTGATCAACTGCAGTGATTCCCTTAACAAGAAAGGTTGTAAACCGGGGCAAAGAATATCTGGAGGGATCCGAGGAAAAAGGAATTAACACTCGGAAGGGGACCCTCACCCTGGACCAGAAGATGGTGATGACGATGACCAGGTGAGCCGTGAGGACCAGGAACCGAGCGGGGATCAGTCCACTGACCGGCGGCATCCTCTCCCTCCCTGCAAAAGAGCAAGCAAGAGAATCCTCACGGCCCAAGGAAAACGTCTTCCGATATACACAGAACGCAGAAGGGGACCTTGGAGGTCTTCTAGTCCAACCCCCTGCTCAGGCAGGAAACCTCTCTCTCCTTCTCTTTCTCCGAATGACAAAATAACGGAGTTGGAGGGGGATCATGGAGGTCTTCTAGTCCAACCTCAGGCAGGAAACTCTTTTCTCCTTCTCCGAATAACAGAATAATGGAGTTAGAAGGGACCTTGGAGGTCTTCTAGTCCAACCCCCTGCTCAGGCAGGAAGCCACTCTCTCCTTCTCCGAATAACGGAGTTGGAAAACTCACTTAACTCACTTAAGAACTGCCTGGCTTAGCAATGGCAATTTGGAGCTCCACTGCGGTCGTTAAGTCGAGGACTACCTGTACTGGGTTCCGTTTTCTCCACCTCGCAACCTACTTTGTGTAAACCAATCTCCAGACGATCCACCAAGGCGAGGGAGTGCTGGGGTTTCTTCAAAATCGGATCTTTGATCAGGGCGCACTCAGG